AGTTTTGCTTGTTTCATCCTTCATTGTTTGGTCTTGCAGCAAGGCCTTGGAAAGAGCCAGTAAGAACAAGCCGATTATAGATGCCATTGGCGAGCCCATTGTTAGAGGTCCTTGGTACAATGCATCACTAGCAGTAGCTCACCAAAGGCAATCTGTATCATGTACATTTCCTGTCTCTGGACCCCAAGGCACCGGAATTTTTCAGCTGAAGGCAGTTCGTAATGGAGGTTGGTTCTGTTCCTTAAATTCTACTTTGAGCAGACATTCTCCATCTTGTTTTTTGTTTCAGAAACATGTTCTGAAATTTGGACATCCTTTATTCTACTTTTTCAACTCCAGAGATATCAATTGTGAATATTTAAGCCGTAGTTGTTAGTCATGGTGGTGATAAGTTCAAAACGCTCCTGCAAAGATCCAAATCAATGCCATTATCAACAGAGAAATCTATTGAGTAAAACAGTTACTCCCTCCGTTTCAATTTGTTCGTCTTACTTAATATTTGAAGTCATTTAAAAAAGAATGTCTTTTTTCATTATTGACATCTTTTTGATTTCAACTTTCCATGTAGAATTTTTAAGACCACAACATTAAAGGACATTTTGATACATCGTACGTATCTTTTGTTTAAGATCACAAGAAATAAAAACCTTCTTTACTTCTTAAATTTCGTCATTCAAAACCAGGGAGTATATTTTTACGGTCGTCTGTCTTTTACTTGTAACACAAAACAGTGTCTTTAGATTGCTTAGCTTCCCATCGAGAAATGAGGATACTGGAGTGTGACTAGCTATTCCTTAATAATGAGGAGTTCCAAGAAGTGGTGTTTGTTAGTTTTTTTGTATGAAGTGTTGTCTAACATCATTCAAAAACGGAACTTCAGAATCAAATTTGAAAATCATTTATATTTTTGATCATTTCTTAGATTCCGTTGAATTGTATAGAATCCATTTCCAATTTTAAAGCGAACAATTGCCTTTAACTCATTAGCTCAACTTTACTGTAGAGAAAAGATTAAAAGAGAGAGATGGTTTATTGTGTGCATAAACTTGTTCATAATTGTCTCTACATACTTGTTCAACATATTTAACTAGTACTGCTGTTTATATTTGGAGCAGAGGACAAATGGTCATCATTTTTACGGGCAAGCGACTGGGAGATACTCATTATGGAAGCTCTCGTCCATGTCCCGGGGAATGAAGAGAAGCAGCAAACTTTTCGGATTAAAGTTTCAGATTACCTACCTCCACCAGCTAGTAATGCATGCACGGATTGCATACCTCAGGAATCATCGGGTAATGTGGATAAGAAATGACCTAGATTCGTTCTTCCATGGCTCCGAGGAGCTTTTTTCTTTCTCCATATTCACATCATAAGAAGCATGTATTTAGGACCCTTTGAAATTTTCCAGTTCCAAGGCACCAAATCTATATATTTCCACATTAGATCGCGTAATTGGTGATTCTTTTAAACGTTGAAGCTATGTTATTGTTAAAAGTCCCTTTCCAGAGTAGCTCCGGAACAATTAGGAGATTCTATACGGAGTTTTGCTTGGAGAGGAAGAAGAACACCATTATAGAGGGATCAACGTGTAAACTTGATCTGTATTTTGGTTTACTGGAATAAGCTCATCGTCAAACTGTAGATTTTGGCAAGAAAAGGTAAACGTTTCTGTGGATTTTAGCTTATACAATAAATGGTTTCAATGTTGTTCACTTGAAGATGAGTAAAGTTCATTTGCATTTTTTTTCTGCTTTCATTTAAAAGTCAATTCTTGATTATTATTTTGTACCATAGTATTCCTACGAGCGTGACTCGAACGCTCAACCTATCTGTTTATGGTGGTGAAGGTGTTCAATTATTTGAACAAGCCTGAATAATCATATGATTAGAGCAGTTAAATTAAGATAATTTTGAAAATGCTTAATAGTACTCAACTCGAATTTAATTTAAGTGTCTTATTTTTCTTTTTAGTGTATTTTCAAACAATGTAACTTTTAAATCCACATATTCAAATAGAAATTTGGTAGATAAAACACATTTTTAGCTTAAAACTATACTATTAAAAAGTTTTCACTTATTTTTATTATATCTTTATGTTTAGTCAAATTAACAAACATAAACCGAAACAAAGGAAGTAGTACGAGAAAATGATATGTTATGATCACTTGCGATTTTAAATAGAAGAAATCGATTTTTTGGATCTCTTATACATTATTTTTAAAATTTTCTTTGTGTTAAAAGACGATCTCTAATTAAAAAAAACATGAACTAGGCTGTGTAGTGGACTAGTGGTTGAATAAGTCATTAAATAAAAGCTAATTAGGTGTGAACTCTATTTCTTTGACTAAATTCAATTCAATTTTAATTCTAAACTTTATGCATATGAAGTTTCCTAAAAGTGACAAAATGATATGTTTACAAGCCAATCAATTTCTTCATAACAAGGTTTAGAATAGTAACGTTTCATTAATCATCTAAAAAATATTTCTTTTTTTATTTTTTGATATTCTATCTTATATTCTGTATTTTCATTTTGAATAAGTCAAATTTATATTCTATACGTTTATTTACAATAAAATTATTTTATCATAGAATTTAATTTTTCCAATTTTAAAATTTCGATCGAGAGTAGAAAAATTCTGTCTCAATATTTATTACTTTCCTGAGTCAATCGTCTTACTTGTAAATTATCAAGTTGATTGTCTACAAGATTAAGGCCAAATTATCTAAATCACATAATATCAAGACAAAAACTTGATTTTAAAAAATTCAAATATCATAGAGTATATTTTTCTTATTTGCTTTCCGTAATAATTATTTTTGAAAGTAATTAACTTTGAAAATCTAGCTGAAGAATACATCCACATATTTCAATATTATAATTACTTAAATTAACTCTTTTTTTTTTATTTATGAAAGAAAAATTTAAAAACTTATATAAACAAAAAATTACAAAAATCCAGCTTGAAAGCGTGAGATTCCCTGAAAAGAAAAAGATCATAGAATCAGTTGATGTATGATTTGACAATCTGTCAATTGCAAGTAATTTTTGTTTTTATTTTTACCCTCTACTCATTTTAGGGCTTTAATTAATTTGAATTTATGTGTTTATTTTAGAGTTTTTGGCCAAAATTATCCTTAAATTATAACTCAAACCTAAACTATATCAATAAAGTATCATTCTTAGCAAAAATCATCCTTTAAATATTTAAAAGTGAACAATTTTCATCATACTACATTAATTTATCATAAAACTATCAAATCTACAAAAATAAAGTCATTCCTTCCTAATTATTATTCTTAGATACGCCAAAATACTATCATGAACTTTTTTCGGTAATTGAGTTTAGCATTATGAAAAATCTTTTAACTTGACAGTTTTTTTCATTTATTCTTCATGTAGTTTGATATTAAAAATATTATTAGTTCAAATATGTTTCTTCTCTATTGAATATGGTAGAAACAACGTTTGTTGGAGACTTACGCTTCTAATAATATAGAATGAAACTCAAATGCGAAATATAATCAATATTTTGATTACTACAATATCAGATTGACCCAAAATTTATTGATCTAAAATATAATTTGGATGTGAAAAAGGTAAAGATAATTAAGCTCCAACTTCTTTCCGTTACTAAATTAGAAAGGAGCAGATTACTTACGTATTCTCATAATTTTCAACTATTTTTTATTTCCGTAAGCCATAATGTCTAAGATTTTTAATATTTTTTTAAAAACTTTTATATAAAGTAATGAAATTATGCAGGAAAACTTTTTTTGATAGTCACGTGAATTGCTCATGTTTTTTAGGATCCCGTAGCTTTTGATAATATCTAACAGAAGGTTGAAAATTGTTCATTTTTAAATTATTGAAAGATGTTTTTTGCTAAGAATAATATTTTTTAAGGATGAAGTTTAAGTTTAGGGTATAGTTGAAGGATGTTTTTGAGCAAAATCTCGTTCCTTTTGTTTCATTTTAATCATCGATTTAGCTTTTTTCATATTTATTACTTCCCCATTTTATATAATGGTCATTATACTAAATATGATTGTTTCAAATTAGTAGATATTAATTAATTTTTTAAAAAAGTGTTCACATTTGTTTGTAAAATTTGTAAGAAATTTTTTAAAAGGTGAATTAGTAAAATTATCGATATTGATGAAGTATAAGCCCTGGCGAAAGATGTTGACAGAAAATCAAAAGAAAATAGTATCATTTATTGAATTACTTAAAATTTCTTATATATCATGTAGAACATAAAATGATTCACTAATATATTCTTTCTGTTCCTAATTACTTGTCAATTTTTTCTTTTTTAGTTGTTCCTAATTACTTGTCCATTTGACAAATCAAGATAGGATAATTTTTTTACCTATTATATCCTCAATTAATTACTTTTTTTTAAAAAACTTTTCGAAACAGTTAAATTTTTTTAATTCACTCACGTTATAATTAGTAAAGGTAAAATGACAAAATCACTATATCAATTATTATTTTTTAAGGGAAAATAAACATGTACCCCCTCAACCTATGCCTGAAATCTCAGAGATACACTTATACTATACTAAGGTCCTATTATCCTCCTGAACTTATTTTATAAGTAATTTTCTACTCCTTTCTGGCCTACGTGACACTAGTTTGAAAAAAAATCAATCAGCGTTGGATCCACAAGATAGTGCCACGTAGGTCGAAAAGTAATAGAAAATTATTAATAAAATAAGTCCAAGGAGTAATAAGACCTTAGTATAGTATAAGTGTGTCTCTGAATTTTCAAGCATAGATTGAGAAATACTTGTGCATTATCTCTTTTTTTAATAAATGTCAATTTCAAAGTGAATAAATAACTACGAACATAAAAAGTAAATTGAAGGGAACATAAAAGAATTATAAATACAAAACATAACGTATAAACTTAAAACATTTAATTAAAATTGACATAATTTTATCTATCTTCGTAACAATCATAAATAAATACAAAGAATTAAAAGATGGTTCCCCACTATACCTGTCAACTCACTTATTGTCATAAAAGACTAACTAGAATCTCTTTGAATTCTTCCACCACCATTTTTGAATGTCAAATTCCATCAGCCATATAATCTCACACACAAACCTTATTATATAAATTTCTTCAAATAATATTTATTTGTTCTTCGATACGAGGAAAAATAAATTGAGATAGATCGATGACGACCGTCTTTGGAATAATGGAAGTTAATCTTGTTAGCGCTAGAGGTCTCAAAAACAATGAATTTTGGGGTATTTATTATTTTTTTTCTTATCTCTTTCACTTAAATTTATTTTTTAGTTTTGTTGATAGAGATGAATTCACGATTTGTAATTTATACGTCTTGATTATCATCATTATTTTTGCTTATTAGATTTAATCATCAAATGGAAAAAAAAATTCCGAATTAACCTTTGAATTAAAGAAGAAAACAAGATTCATGTATCAAATATAATTAATTCTATCTGATTTTTGTTTTAATTTTATAACTAGAAAAATATAATGAATTTTTTTTTACCTGTCTGTCAAAAATGGTATATTTGAAGTTCTCAACTAAAATGTAATAATCTACTAACTAAATACTCGATCAATATTAAATCTAAACTCATAATTTTAATATTATAATGAATTAATACTAAAAGTCATAAAAAGTAAATTCATTAATTTTAAATTCTGAATCCGTCTCCGTTATTCTTTTATGTTTGATTACTTTCATTATACTTGTGTGCACATGATTTAGGTTTATTTATTTATTTATTTATTTTTTAAAAAATGTATGTGGTGTTGTTGTTAATTGTGTAGGTGGTGGAATAGATCCATATGTTTTGATCCAATATAGAGGTCAAGAACGCAAGAGCTCTACTATTCGAGGTATTCGTTGATAAATTATATATCTCCATCTTCCTTTTTGTATATTGTTATTAATTAAACATATATTTTTATAGCCGAATTCAAAATTTAAACGCTACAAGTTCAACTTAAATTATGAACTTAGACCTACTAATACTATTTGTTACAAATTTAATGAATTTGTATATGTATAGAAAAAATATGATTTTTATCAAAAATATTGAATTTAAATGAATCCAATGTCGCAACTCACATAACCGTGAAAGATGGAAATTAACTTTAATTGGACGTTGTAGCTCGCTCCACGCTGATAGTTTGTTTGATCAAATTTTTAAAAAGTCAAAATATTTATTTTATAATGTTAAAGTGTTTGATGAAACTTTTAAATTTAAACGACGTAATTGATTTTGTGTAATATTTTTTTCACTTATAAAAGCAGGGCAAGGTAGTAAACCAGAATGGAATGAGAAGTTCACATTCAAGATAGAATATCCCTCAGTAGATGGACAATACAAGCTTATACTTAAGCTCATGGATCATGATACATTTTCTTCTGATGACTATCTTGGTGAAGCCACGTGAGTAAATTTTATTAGTTGAAACTCGAATATTGATTAAAATATACATCGTAACATAGCAAGGGTTCTAATTTTAAGATCGAGTTGGTTAAACAGGAGATATGATTAAAATGAGCCCAAAATTTATGGTTGTTACATTCTTCTTTAAATGTGGGGTTGGGGGGTTGGGTTGTCTCATGCTCAAAACCTCCTGTATGTTTTTTGGTCAAGCTCGTTGCACAAGGTTGCTCAGTGAGACCATCTCTTTTATGTGGTGTTGAGCTATTATATTGAAATAGTTTTTATCTTGTGTGTATTTTTAAGGATAGTGACTGTGTGTTTCTTTATCGATAATTTCTCGAAGGAATTGATTGAATAAATATTGTACATATTGTAGTATCTACTTGAAGGAATTTCTTGAAGTGGGATTGGAGAATGGAAGAGCTGAAGTTCATCCTAAAAAATATAGTGTGGTGGGGAGTGATCAATCTTATTGTGGTGAAATTCAAGTTGGTATCACATTCACCCCAAAGGTATATATTCTTTTGATACATCTATCTTAATTTTTAAAAATTTATGATTACGTCATATCAAGAATTTAATTACTGGTCCGATTAATTCTAATAACTTGTGAAATAAAATTTAAAAATATAGCTATTTTTTAGTTTTTGTCATGGAATGTGAACCTCTATGTGAAGTTTCATATTGTGAAATTTGAAACTCTTTAACGATAGTTATTTTTCAAAATCGGACTCGAAATGTGGCCAGAGTATACGCTATTTCTATTGCTTTGTGCCACATAGAGCCCATTTCACATCTTCAAAACTCGAACGTAAGACCTCTACTTAAAATCAGTGTAGAAATCTTATTTATCACACTACACCCTTTGGTGGTGTCTATACTCTTTTCACATTGAGGGAAAAAAAAACTTTAACATGATGACAATTTTCAAATCTTGGACAACCAAGTTTTTATTTAATCGGAACTTTATTATATACTTTTTAAATATTATAAATTATTAATTATTTTAATTTATAGTACTTTCTTATATAATTTTAGATAAATTCATTGTCAAACTTTAGAAAAGGGATAATTTCACTTAACATGCTAATGTAATGTTCCATGGTATGTTTAATTATTTGACAGAAGGCAACTCATGATGTGGAAGAAGAATATGGTGGATGGAAGGAGAGTAATGATCACTCATGATTAACTATAAAGGAGAATGTGATTTCGCGAAGAGATCATAAATTCACGTACATTATAATTTACTCTATTAATTCGATATCGAGTAGATAGCTATCTTATTGTTATGTTTATGTATTATGTTTTAAGAGATTGTTTCTTACTAAATGAAACAATTAGGGATGACAAACATTGTGGGGCGGGTTAAGTTATAGCCCGTACAAATTTCAACCCGGTTTGCATTATGTATCATATTTTTTGTCTTTTATAAAACTTTATTATTTAAATATTCATAAGTTAAAATATTTTTGGATGGTGTTTAAGCAAACATGATCAGGATAATTTAAAATCTTTTTATGGTTATTGAGAGTAATGTTTTAATTATTTCTCAAATTTTCTGACTCACTCTTGCAAAATTAAAAAGAATAACTTTCACATATAGTTTGTATAATTGTGCTTCATAGCAAACTTTATGTTTGCTATGTCTATTAATATGTATATTTCGCTATACATATATACAGAAAGAAGCAATTGAACGATCTGTTTCGATATGCATATAAAAAAAATCAATTATAAAAATTATGTTTGTATAAAGCGATAAAAGAGAGAAAGACAAAACAAAACTGGCAGGGAAAATCTGTATATCTATAATCATAAGTATATAAGATGAAAATATATGTATTTATAATTGTATATACAATTTTTCTCTCGCTTTATATAAACGAAATGTATATATTTGTATTTGTATGAAGTGAGAAAGGCGAGTGAGAGTGGCGAGAGAGATCTGGGAGTGTGGTGAGCGAGCTTTGGGAGAGGGGAGCGAAGGGAACAAAAATATATGTATATATACAATTTTCTCTCGCTGTATACAAACACAACACATTTTATACATTCGTGTTTGTATAAAAACGAGAGAGGCAAGGGAGAGACTGCTGAGAGTGGCGAGCGAAATTCACCAGGGAGAGAGGCTAAATAACAACAGCTTGCTACGAGGTAGACTCAAATCAAACTGTTATTATGATATTTAATTTAAATTAGTAATTTGCTATTATATACAATTTTCCCACTAAAATTGCAAAAATTGAAAATCCCAATTTTTTAAAAAATATGTGAATTTTTTTATTGGCACAAAAATTTTTCATCTTTTTCTTTCTCTTTATTTTGTTGTCTTCCCCAATATTATTTCTTCTCCATTTTTTTTTGTTGTCTTCTCCAATATGTGAATTAATAGTTTCTCTTCCTCTTTCTTCATTTCAACTCTGTCCACTACTTTCATTTCACCAGTGTTTTAGTAATCTACATTCTACAGAATTTAACACTAACATTTTATTATTAACGTCAATTTCACAAATATAATTTTTCTTGAATTTTGAATAACTCGTTTGACTTATTAATTCTCACAAGGTATATTTGAAAGGTGGGAGGGGAGGGAAGGGATTCGAGAAAATAATGTGATATTATAGTGATTATTTGAATTGGAGGATATCTACATGTTCATATAATTAAAGTGTTATAATAAATTTTACTGTCAAATTCACAAGAGAATTTAATATATTTTCTTTATTAATAAATATAAAATAAAATTAACCGAGTCCTTTACCATGTAATTTCTCATTGGGTAATTGTGAGATATTTAATCAAATGTGTATCACATAAAAATAAATTGTCCAACCACTTGAAATTAGCCGAATTTATGCCACAACACTACTTAAGAATCCTCCTCCACACCTTTGACTCCACAAGGGTAAAAATCAAAAGAATCTATATTCTATAATTTCACTTTAAATTGCCCTTTTGCTTCAAATACTTTTGTCACACAAGTTAGCAAATTAACAATATATACCATGGAGTCTTCAAGAATTAGTTTGCCCCCATTTAGATTAACAAACATTGATGATATATTGTCGCGGGCAGGCGGAGTCAGAATTTTTTATAAAGAGGTTTAAAATCCGAAGGAGTAAACATATGAACTAGTCGAATGGGGATCGACATTTATTATATACATCTAAAAAATAATTTTAACCATGAATATATAGTATTATTTTCTGCCGAAGGAGTTTGGATGACCCCCCTAAAAATATGTTGGCTCCGCCCCTGCAGGCGATAAACCTTGGCATGTATCAGTATGTATCGATGATCGATCCATCCGATGGGATACTTTGTCCACAATTATATAAGGAAAAATTATATAAATTAATACATTTTAAAAAATAATTACTGATTTTAGCAATACTTTTTGTTTATTACCATTTATAACAATATTGTGATAAAGCTGTAATATGTATTAAAAGTGAATTATGTATACAATATATTTAAATTATAATTGTTTTTGAAATATATTATATTTGTTTGGTAAAAAAATTGTCGTGTTGTATTAGAAGTGTATTAAAATGTGTGATAAATATATTATCCATCATTAAAACTTGTATTATATGTGAATAATAAATTGTTCTTTGTAATATGTATTAAACTTGTATTATAAATGAATAAAAAGTGATCAAGTGGAAAAAAAATATTATTGCTATAAATGGTAAAAATATTTTTATTATAGTATATTTATTTAAGTTTCCCATTATATAATGAGTCTTTTCACTTATTTACTACTATTTGTATACTACTCCCATGTAATACTCATTTTCCTGGAAGATAACTTTTTATTTTGGTAACTCTTCAATTTTAATTTTTCACGTAACATGTTTAGGATGTATGATTAAATAACATTTTAGCATATTCTACATACATTTAATTTCAAGTTTCTTTGATTTTAAACGATATGAACTAATTAGTTTTACAAAAAGATTCAAATAATTTTGAGTTTTAAAGTAATTTTTTAATAAAATTTTAAATAATAAATATATTTTATATAATTACGTCTATAATTAGTATAATTTTATAAACATTGGAAAATCATCTCAAAAAAATTTACATTAATTACTTTAGCTTAAATAATGGTTATATTTTTTTAAAATTATTTAGTTAATTATTTCATATCGCTAAGTTTATCGAATTAACCAATTGGAGTCAATTTAGCTTAAGTTTTAAACCCATATGGCTATTTTACTATTGCAATGCTAGCCACTTAATTCAATTTTGAGAAACCAGGCTGGGCCTATTTTTCAATTAGCCCAGCCAGCCTACCCAACTTTCCAGCAGCCCAACCAAACAGCAAATAACCAAATAGCCTAACAACAGCCCACCAACAATACAATATTAAAAAAATTGTATATAATAACGAACTATTAATTCAAATTAAATGCTATGAATACATTTTGATTTGATTGTATTCTATAATAAATTATTGCTATCTTTGCCTCTCTCCCTGGTGGAATCTCGCTTGCCACTCTCGTTTGGTGGTAGTCTCGCTCGCATCTCTCGCTTTTATACAAACACAAATATATAAAATGTGTTTGTATTTGTATAAAGCAAGCCGAAATTGTATATATACATATTTTTTAGTTATCATCCCTTTCATCTCCCAAATCTCTCTCGCCACTCTCCCAGATCTCGGTCGCCACCCTTGACTCTCTCGTTTATACAAACAGAAACGAAATATATAAATTGTGTTTCTGTTTGAATAAAGCGAGATAAAATTGTATATACATATGAGAATACATTTATCTTCATCCTATACACTTATAATTATAGAATACAAATATTTCCCTACCCATTTTTCTTTTGCTTTTCTCTCCTTCTCGTTTTATACATACATAGATTATACAATTGATCTTTTGTATACAACTGCTTTATTTTGTATATGTATAGCGAATTACACAACTGCTTTCTTTGTACGTGTATAGCGAATTACACAACTGCTTTCTTTGTACATGTATAGCGAATTATAAATATTAATATGTCTGCTATGGAACACAATTATGCAATCTATAGATATATCATACAAATATGATTTTTATGTTGCTAAATGTGAAAGTTACTCAACAATATTCACCCAAAACAACCCAGCCAAAGAAATATAGAGTCATTTAAAGAGCAACTTTCACATATAGGGTTTAGGGTTTAAGGTTTATGCTATAACTATAATTTGCATAATTGTGTTCCATAGCAAACATATTAATATATATATTTCGCTATATATATACAAAAGAGGCAATTGTATAATATGTTTCAGTATACATATACAAAAGAATCAATTGTATAATCTATGTTTGTATAAAGCGAGAAATAGAGAAAGACAAAAGAAAACTAAGCAGAGAAAGATCGTATTTGTATAATCATAAGTGTATAGGAGGAAAATATATGCATTTGTATTTGTATATACAATTTTCTCTCGTTTTATACAAATGCAAACGATATGTATATATTTGCGTTTGTATAAAGTGAGAGAGGCGAGCGAGATATGAGAGAGGGGAGTGAGGGAAACGAAAATATATGTATATATACAATTTTCTCTCGCTTTATACATTTGTGTTTGTATAAAAGCGAGAGAGATGAGGGAGACTGCTCAACGATAATGAGAGTGGCGAGCGAGACTCATTGCGAAATAGCAACAGTTTGCTATGTGTTAAAATTAATTCAAACTATGATTATAATATTTAATTTAAATTAATAGTTTGCTGTTATATATAATTTTCCTTTAAAAGAAACCGATTTATATAGTCAAGGTTCGAGTTTTAAGCTTTCCTCTTTGAAGCTTTCATATTCAAGCTTTTCCTCTTGATGCACAAGGACAAATTTTCATTTATACATGAAAATAAACGTTTTTATGTCTAATTATTCTACTCCACATGATAGTTTTGATCTTTGGTCCTCAAACAAGTTGGTAGGGGTTTGCTATTTTGTTTGGTTTAGAGGCATCATAATATTTGTTTCTCAAATTCAAAATGTCAAGGATATAAGATTGATTTATTAGTTTATTCTAATGACCCGGACCCAAAAATTACTTTTTTTAAGACAATGATTTGTTGTTCTTAGAATATGATCTCCTCAATTACAAAAATTGATGGATTTTCCGTTCGTACAAAAATATTATGATGAGCATAGCCATCTAAAATTGAAAATTTCGAACATGTTATTATGAAAATATTTGATAGACATTTCTTTTTCTGTTAATGTCACGTGAATCGAAGTCACATAATCATTGTGTTTCATTTTATTCACAATTGTATTTGGCCATTGATTGGGATGGTTTTTGTAAAATATGAAGTAACATTTGAAAATAAAATAATAGTAATAATCTTGAAGTGTTTTTCAAAATTCCAAATACAACTAAAAAATATTTCATGACCAAAGAAGAATTCTGGAATAAAGAATCATCATAGTCTAAATATAGCTCTTTCCCTTTCTTGAG